AAGTGCGCGCACACACACACACACACACACACACACACACACCCGGAGCAGTGGGCAGACGTTTTTTCGGAGGCGCCTGGGGAGCGATTGGGGGTTCGGTGTCTTGCTAAAGGGAACCTCAGTTGTGGGTAATAAGAGTGAAAGACACACTGTTCATTCCCTCCCACACCTACATTACTGCTAGTACTGAGACTCGAACCCACGACCTTCGGGTTACAAGTCGTACGACTCTCTAACCAGTAAATGTGCGGAAGCTTGTTGCCATGACAGAATAAAAAATGAGAAAGGTAATTGCGACTTTTCATCTCACAATTTTTACTATTTTTCTCAGAATTGCACGATATAAACTTGCGATTCTGACTTTTTTGGGATGAACTTGCAACTGTGAGTTATAAAGTCAGAATCACAAGATTACGTGTTACTAGGCCTAAGTCAGAATTGTGAGATATAAATATAAATATATTTTCTCACCTTTCTGACTTTTTTTTCTCAGAATTACATGATTTAAACTTGCAATTGCGTTTATATAATAACATTAAAAAAGTCAGATTTGTGAGATACAAACTCCCAAATCTGACTTTTTTCTCACAACTGATTTTTTCTCTCTCAGAATTGTGAGTTTAAATCTCACAAATCTGACTTTTTTTCGTTATATAAACGCAACTGCACATTTATATCATGCAATTCTGAGAAAAAGTCAGAAAGAAAAGTCAGCTTCCATAGAAATGACACAATAGTGAAAATTACAGAATTGTCATTTTTTGATGTAGTATTTCTCAGTTTTCTTACCATGCATCTTCGGACCAGTTGCATGGTCTCATTCCAAGATTTATCAGCATATTTGGACTTCAAGGCAGACATTAAAGTTTTGGTCTTCATACTTGCAGGAACTATGAATGAAGGCGACAGCGGTGAAGAACCACATGTTTTAGTTGGTTCTCAGAATTGTTGTATATTTTACATTAATAAAAAAGACTCTTAAACTAGCCAAAGCCGTTTGTTTTCTGGTCTTGCATCTTTTTTTATTCCTTATTTATTAACATTTTATGTGTATATTAGCTACTATATTTACAACAAAGCCGATGCGCCCATAATCATTAAGCTCGTTTAGGGGGGTTGGACACTTGCCAAATGAAGACCAGCTTAGACTGTAAACTTAATAATTTAAGAGCAGCTTAAACGAACTATGACCAGCAATGACATTTATGCTGGTTTAATGTGTTTTTTTATTATTATTTATTTATTTTTAGATGAGATTTCACTTTACCACATTCGCTCTTTGACTCCATATCGGCCGAGGCACTTGTTAATAACGCTTTGACGGCTGCTCAAGAGATTTATCTCAAGATTAACAACACATAACGTCGTGGAAAAGTATAAACATAAAGGTTTAAACTCCAAAAAGACTTTCAACCAGTCGCTAATTTAAGTTCTCTCGCGAGACTCTAATTAACGGCGCGCGCTACGTGAAACTAGAGGGGGATTGCGTGCCCTCGCGCATGCGCAGATAGACTCTTCCCTGCATGGAAAACTGAAGCGGATCCATGTGACCCGCCTATCGGGATCATCATCGGCTCTACACACACACACCCATGATGACTGACTGACTTCTGCCACACCAAAGATCACCGTACCCGGTTTGTGCTCGCTGTAAACACTGACGGAAGGGAGGCTTGAGGGGTTCGGTCCGGTTCTGAGGGCATTATCCGGGATGAGGCTGCAGTAACGGCAGGGAAGAGGAATCTTCCCGAGAGTCCCTGTGTGTCTGATTACCTTTAGCTGAACCTGCAGACACAAAGGCACAGGTATTACAGCAGATATATGTAACCAGTGTCGTTGTGAATATAGGATTACATCTAGGCTTGGTGCTAGTTGATATAAGCGAATGAACCCCTGGGTCTGACTATAACGTTATGTGTGTGAGTGTGAGTGAGTGTGTGTGATGGCTAGCAGGACAGCTAGTGTGTGTGTGTGTGTGTTTCTGTTTCTGTATGGGTGTGTTTATGATGGTTAGCCGGACAGCTTGTGTGTCTGTCTGTCTATCTGTGTGTATGGGTGAGTGTGTGTATGATGGTTATGTGTATGCCGGACAACTTGTGTGTGTTTGTGTGTGTAAGAGCAGACTGTATAAATGACCCTTACAAAAAGCACTGTGATACCATAGAGACCAACAGATGGTATACCATGTTATTAAATGATTACCATAGTATTTTTGCATGGCTGAGATGATCCCTAACATCGAGGACACAGACCACTCAATATGATCATCCTAAAACTGGGAAGGCACCTTTATGCTTTCATATATACGATTTTAAAATGTGTTATATACCAATTTAAATTATTCTTGTTTGGAACATTTTTAGTATCTTTTAAGTTTTCTTTCTACTCACTATAGTGCTGTTCTGTAAAAGGCATTTTATTTAAATCAAATTCTAATGTTTAGGCTACTTATTAATGTTAATAAATATACAGAGTTCAGATGCAAAAAACCTCTAAATGCCATTTGAAATTTTCTTCTTTAATGATGATTTTTATCAAACTTGTATATTTAAGTTCAGTAATTTCACTTAAATAACAATTAATAGGTAATTATCATTGCCATTAAAGTGAAATTACTGAACTTAAATATACAAGCTTGATAAAAATGATCATTCTAGAAGAAAATTTCAAATGGCACTTAGAGGCTTTTGCATCTGAACTCTTTATATATATATATATATATATATATATATATATATATATATATATATATATATATATATATATATTTATTTAAATTCAGTATTATTGTTTTCTTATTCATCTAAACTATATTAATCTATTACTAAATAAATATATTAAAATGATTCATATATTTATTCATTAATTTTCATTTTTTACTCTGTTTTTCTCTACTATGATTTGTAGTCGTTATTATTAATGTCAATGTGCTTTAGATGTCCCTCAGTCGGTCTGATTTATTGGAGTTTCACCATTGCAATGTCTTGCTCTTTTATTTAGTTCGATCTACAATCATCACAATCCAAAATGCTTTAAAATAATAACTTCCCCTGCCTTTTGCAGCTTCTCTTCTCTGATGATGTGGGCGGGGCTATTACCTGTCACTCACATCAATTCCTAAGGACACAATCAAGCCCCGCCCACATTTGTTCTTGTTCCAGAAGCGTTTCACTCGGATATACGACACAATAGCAAATAAGACGAGCGCAACTTCTGTTTCACGCTGACTTTAAAGAGGATTTTGATTGGCTTTGGTGTATTATATATTTGTGTTTTATTTCAGATTTATTTAATTTAACGAAAACAATTTTAATAGTACACTGATCCAGATGTCACAGAAATAACTTTGCAAATACGCAGGGAGTTTATCTGTTACTGCGGATTCCTGTCGACGGTGAAAGAGTCGAGGTTATTCAGGTGAACATACGCCAGTTGTTTTAATCGAAAGTTCAATTTTAAATAATGGAGTAAAGCACTCCCCTAGCCTGGATGCTAGCCGAGCTTAGCCCCGCCCACAACATTTGAGGATGGGAATTTCGGTTTGGACTTGATCCGTTGTGAAGCAAGTATGCTCGAACCAAAGCTGTTCGGACCAATCAAATCGTCAGGGCGGGCTTTATACGATGATGGACAGATGATCAACAGTAACGTAATCATCCACTTCCCCAAAGAGCGCTTGGGTTGAGTTTGTTTACAACAAAGATGGCCGCCGCTGGAGATGTGTAGATTCAGCCATCATTGCGTCTGTTATAGAAGATTTCAACCACGCATTCATTTTAAAAGAGGAACAGAGAACCGCGATCAAGCCATTTGTCGATCCAATGCAGTGCAGAGGCATTTTCTGTCCTGGTTCGGTTGAAACGCCCCATAATCACAGGCCAATGGAGCCGTATCAGACTCACAGTATGACTAGCATCTGAGTGTGATGATGTCGTCAGGCTAGCATTTCGGGGGAATACTTGGAAAATAGTTTCCCCGCTTGACCATTTTACTTTTATTTGAAGGATATCGGTGGTGTGATGCATTACAAGTTGTTATAATAATATGCAAATGATATTCAAGTGCTTAAGACAGGCCTGTTTCTTGCATTAAGTGAGTTGTTATGGCGAGTAGATATTATTTATTTTTGTTGTCCTCCAGGTGCACACGGGCCGGTACATGGTCTTCTCTCGAACACACTCCCACCCTGACCCCTCACTTCAGTGACCTTCAGCTCCTCCCTGACCCGACCCATAAACCCCACGACTGTCCTCAGCGCGAGCCGAACAGTAGCCGATAGCATGGCCACAGCCAAGCCCAAAGGCCAGAACTCACTGGCGCTGCACAAGGTGATCATGGTCGGCAGCGGCGGTGTGGGAAAGTCGGCGTTAACTTTGCAGTTCATGTACGATGAGGTGAGGATGCTTTCCACATATGACAAAAATACTTCCTTCCTTCCGCAGACATCATGGAAGTTAGGGATGCGCGATATATCAGCTACCATATCGGGACCGGACGATAAATGTTCTTCAATGTTATCGTTATCGGCCTGATATGAAAATTTGGCCGATATGTTAAAGCCGATAAATTGCTGAGAAACGTCAGATGCGCAGTGTTCACCATGATGGTTTTTAATTGCTTGAAACATGATTGGAATCACTTCAGAATACAGTTCAGTGCAACATGCATACAGGTGAAACTGGAAAAAATTACAATATGGTGCAAAAGTTCATTTATTACAGTAATTCAACTTAAAAGGTGAAAATATTATATTATATAGACTCATTACATGCAAAGTGAGATATTTCAAGCCTTTATTTGAATAATGTTGATGATTATGGCTCATCATTATTCTTATTTTTTTTTTATTGCAAGTTAACAAAACATAATTTATACAAAAATAAGAGATCAGTGAATTATGTATACATACAAAAGAGAGAAAGACATACACGGAGTACATACAATAGTAGTGGTAACAGTGGCAACCAACAGCATTCATGATAATAATAGGTGTAGTAAGAGTGGTAGTATAGCTGTGATAATGATAATAGTAATTATAATAATACATGTTACAATTATTAATACACATAGATTATAAGTAATTATAATAATACATGAAGAGTTCAGATGCAAAAGCCTCTAAGTGCCATTTGAAATTTTCTTCTAGAATGATCATTTTTATCAAGCTTGTATATTTAAGTTCAGTGATTTCACTTAAATGGCAATGATGATTACCTATTAATTGTTATTTAAGTGAAATTACCGAACTTAAATATACAAGTTTGATAAAAATCATCATTAAAGAAGAAAATTTCAAGTGGCATTTAGAGGCTTTTGCATCTGAACTCTTCACATATAGATCAGTAAATAAAATTATTGTGAATATACACTATTCTCTCATCATTATTAACACTTCATTATTAAAACGGCTATGTTAAGGTTTCTTGTTTTCTCACGTTGACAGTTTCTAAAATTATTACATACGGTTTATGGATGTTACATAAATTAAATAGGCCAGTTTTCAATTCAAAATGGTTCATTAGTTTGCCTGATTATTTTTGTAACATTTCTATCTTAAAACAGCTGTCAATTATCAAATGATTAGTTTAGCCACTTGCATCTTATCTCTCACTTTATGACCATTAACAAATGATCTTGATGTTGTGTTATATCCTTGCAGCACTAAAGTCGTGTTAATACTATATCAGGCAATTATTTCACAACCTTTATTTTATACACCATTATTATTCAGACCTCTGTGACCTCATATCTGGCTACGGCCATGGCTGTACTAGTACGTTTGTGACCAGACTGACTACAGGTGAGTAATCCAAAACAATGTATACAAAAAATGTTTACTGTAAATACAAGTAGGGAGGTATTAGGCACACTTTCAGTCTGGGCAATAGAAACCTCCTACAACCATTTGAACATTGATGAATTGATGAATTATATTGTTTGGAACAAAGATAAAGTTAAAAAAAGCCTCATGTTTTAAGGTCCTGGTTGGAGATATTGTAATTACTGCCAAGGAATCAATCAGTTATCTTGGATGTATGCTAGATTGTAATTTATCTGGAGTAGGTCAGGCCCAAAAGGTAATCACCAAAGTTAATCAAAGAGTTAGTTTTTTAGCCAGAATATCAAAGTTATTGGATGAAAAAACATCCAAAAATCATTTTTTGATTATGCTTGTGGTGCATGGTACAATGGTCTCACAGTAAACCTGAAACATAGACTTCAGACGTCTCAAAATAAATTAATAAGGCTAATTTTAGACCTGCCCATTAGAACTCATCTGGAATCTTCCCACTTTGAAAGGGTGGGATGGTTGAAAGTTGAGGATCGGGTGTCTCAGATGCAGCTGGGTATGGTACAAAAAATTGTTTATGGAGATGTTCCTAAATATTTTAGAAATTATCTTAATAGAGTAGACGAAGTTCACAGGTACTCCACTAGGGGTAGCTCAACTGATTTTGTTCCCCCCAGATTTAATACAAATCTGGGCAAACATTCTTTTCTTTATGTTGGAACTACCCTTTGGAATTGGTTACCTGGTGCACTGAAGACAGTAAGAAGTATAGGTCATTTTAATGTCATTTTAGGTCATTTTAGGTCTGAAATTATGGTTTAGGGGCCAAATGTAGTTTTTATAATACTACGTTTATTTATTTATTTATTTATTTTTTTGTATAATATGTATGAATTTGGTTTATGTATGTGAATGATTGATGTGTGATGTGTTGCCACTTGACTTCTTCTGCTGCCTTTATAAGGGACCACAATGGAAATAAGTCTTCGGGCTTTATTGTGTTATCCCTGACCACTTTTGTATTTGTTTTTTAATGTATGCAACAGTTTCTTACTGTTCTTCATAATTTTATATTTAAGTGGTCAAATAAATCTAATCTAATCTTATTAAATTTTTTCGGAAAATAATTGTGTACTGGAAATAGCCTTCGTGATGGGAGTTGTTTTCAAAATTAGTCAGTTTTGCCAATAGGAATCTTCTACAAGCTTTGGAGTTTTAAAACGTCTGTTTTTAAATGTTCAAAGTAAATTTAAATACACTTTATAGGCTACGTTTAATGCAGCTGACGTCCCCTTATTAGGCATCACGAGCTGTGGACGCACGTAAAGCATTCGCATGTGTATACTCTACCTTTACATTGAAGTATCTTGACTTAACCCCTACGCACCTCCATCTCCTCCTCAGTTCGTGGAGGACTACGAGCCCACGAAGGCGGACAGCTACAGGAAGAAGGTGGTTCTGGACGGGGAGGAAGTGCAGATAGATATTCTGGACACAGCCGGGCAGGAGGACTACGCTGCGATCCGGGACAATTACTTCAGGAGCGGAGAGGGCTTCCTCTGCGTCTTCTCCATCACTGAACTGGAGTCGTTTGCTGCGACTGCTGACTTCAGGTGATTTACACATCTTCAGCTTATTCAAAAGAGCTGTATTGGTTTTAGACTTGACTAGGGTGGTTGATTTCTGATTTCTGAACTGTAGTCAGTGTGTAATGGTGCTGTCTGAGCATAAACGACATCTGCAAAGTTACAACGCTCAAAGGGAGATATTTGCTTTTACAGAAATCATTTTTAAACTTTAAAAAAATGACTACATAACCAGCGTGCGTTTCACACATCTCTATTGGCTCGCGTTCGGTGGGGGGGCGCAGTAACTCGTTAGGGGCGACACTTTACAATAAGCTCTCATTTATTAACCTTTTAGTCAATATAAATGTTCATGTTAGTTCACACTGCATTAACTATTATTGCCAGTAGGCATGTGCCGGTATCAAATTTTCATGCTGCAGTTAATTGATTGAGCTTTTATCACGGTATACGGTATTATCACGATATTTTAATGAAATTATATTTTAATGCTCAAGAAAAACAGATGCATTGTGGGTCTCTAGAAAAAAACCCAACTTACATCACCATGTGTAATTGTGATTTTCAAAACATATGGTAACTAAACCAAATTGTTTAAAGTTTAGTGACAACATGGTACAATGACTGGTAGGTTACTGTTTGTATTATTCAATTAAATTCTTGGATTTGATTTCAGTCCTAATTCAATATTTTACCAGATAAGTAAAACTTTTTCCTCTACATATATTGAGATTAACACTAATTAAGATTAATAAATGCTGTAGAAGTATTCATTATTAGCCAATTTGAACTAATGTTAACAAATTAAACCTTATTGTTGTAAAGTGTTATCGGTTTAAGATTTGTTAACATTAGTAAACTAGACACGAACTAACACACTTCTAAAGCATGCATTAATCTTAAGGTAGAGTTCATTTCAACTAATACATTATTAAAATATCTGTTAATATTATTTATTAGACCTGAGTTTACAAAACAGTATTTTTATTAACTAACATTGACAAAGATTAATGCGTACTGCAACAAATGCAAATGCTCATTGTTAGTTAATGTACTGTAACTTAATGCATTAACTAATAGAACCTGTGTTTCCATTATATATATATATATATATATATATATATATATATTTTTTTTAGTAATGGTACTTTAATTAGATGTAGATGAAAATATATAGTTTTGCACATACTTAAATCACATTAGTTAAAAGGTTTCGACGTTTGTTTGTTTTTTGCAAAGGCATTCTTGTTTATACTTTTCTGAATATTGATTTCCATTAGAGTTATGTTTGACAGAGAAACGATCCTCTCTTCTTCTCAGAGAGCAGATCCTGCGTGTGAAAGAAGACGAGAACGTGCCGTTCCTGCTGGTGGGAAATAAGTCTGACCTGGAGGACCGGAGACAGGTGAGCGCGGACGAGGCCAAAGCCCGAGCGGATCAGTGGGGTGTGTGTTACGTGGAGACGTCTGCCAAGACCCGCGCCAACGTAGACAAGGTGAGTGTGTGTGTAGCGATGGGCAGTTATTGGGCAAATTCTGATCAAACTACATCCTCTACACTGCGATTATTTACAACCAATGATATCTCTGGGATTTTGTCGAAAGCGATAATTAGCTGAGTGAGTTTTTGTGCTGATATCTTGACTGGTTTATTAGGGTCCTATTAGAAATCCGTTTTTTTTTTTCCACAAATTCCTTTTGATTTTTTTTTCATGACTTGCGTTTGGTTTTTTTCATGAATTCCATTTGATTTTTTTTTTTCATGAATTCCGTTAAATCAAATGGATTTTTTTCAGGAATTCCGTTTGTTTTGTTTTTTTCACGAATTCTGTTTGAATTTTTTTTCACGAATTCCGTTTGATTTTTTTTTTTTTTTCACGAATTCCGTTTGATGATTTTTTTTCACGAGTTCCGTTTGATGTTTTTTTTTTTCACGAATTCCGTTTGATTTTTTTTTTTTTTCACGAATTCCGTTTGATTTTTTTTTCACGAATTCCGTTTGTTTTTTTCCCTCGAATTCTGTTTGATTTTTTTTTTCTTCACGAATTCCATTTGATTTTTTTTTTTCACGAAGTCCGTTTGATTTTTTTTTTTTTAACGAATTCCATTTGATTTTTTTCACGAATTCCGTTTGATTTTTTTTCCAACGAATTCCGTTTGTTTTTTTTCCTCGAATTCTGTTTGATTTTTTTTTTTCACGAATTCCATTTGATTTTTTTTCACGAATTCCGTTTGATTTTTTTTCAACGAATTCCGTTTGTTTTTTTTCCCTCGAATTCTGTTTGATTTTTTTTTTTCACAAATTCCATTTGATTTTTTTTTTCACAAATTCCATTTGATTTTTTTTTTCACGAATTCCATTTGATTTTTTTTTTTTTCACGAATTCCGTTTGATTTTTTTTTCAACGAATTCTGTTTGTTTTTTCCCCTCAAATTCTGTTTGATTTTTTTTTTCACGAATTCCGTTTGATTTTTTTTTTTCAACGAATTCCGTTTGTTTTTTTCCCTCAAATTCTGTTCGATTTTTTTCCACGAAATTCCATTTGATTTTTTTTCATGAATTCCGTATGATTTTTTTTTTTAGTCTCCATTTTAATGGTTATATTAAATCTTAGTAATCAAAAAGCATGTCTTATTAATTGAAATCATGAAACTTATACAATATAACAATAATTTATTAACATATAAACAAAATGTGCGTGTTTATGGCCCTATGAATAAAAAAAAATCTCTCAAATTCCGTTGTATTTTTTTTTTTACTAAATTCTTTGTTTTATGTTTTAAATTTTTGGGATTCCATTTTTAATCGTTTAAGTAAAATTGAAATTGAATAATCAAAAAGAATGTCTGATTAAATTAATTAATAAAAAAACCATTTAATAATTTAAAAAAATATATATTTTTAATTAATTACTATTATTATTTTAAATGTGTATTTAATTTTTTTCTGGCAATCAAATGAATGCATAAAACGTTAATTTAATTTATCTTTCAATCATATGAAATTAAACAGTATATTTCTGTCACAATTTCTTCAAGCTAAACCAGACATTTATTTTGACTGGTTGCGGTGAAGACCTTTGAGTTTCTGTGTGTTTATGATGTATGACGATAGTTTTTCTCAAATGAAACGGTAAAATGCTCAGGGAAAGACTCTGGAGATGAAGTTATTATTCGACAAAAATCACACGTTATAATACATGACATTTTAATGACTGGATTCTGCATTCATACAAATAATGCTATAATTGATACTGTAAATGTGTGTGTGTGTGTCATTAAACAATTCTCATTTTAAAGATGGTGTGCTTCTGGATTGCAGGTTTTCTTCGACCTCATGAGGGAGATCCGTGCGAGGAAGATGGAAGACAGCAAGGAAAAGAACGGGAAGAAGAAGAGGAAAAGTCTGGCTAAACGAATCCGCGAAAGATGTTGCATTTTATAGTGTGTGTGACCCTCCACTCTCTCTCTTTTGCATATACTGTACATGTACTGTACGTTCTGTGTTTCCCTGTCGCTAACTCATCCTCTGCAGTGCTTGCTGGTGTTTGTGTGTCAGATGTAGACCAGGACCGGAGTCTCTCTAGTGTCAAATCACTCATATTGTCCAAAAGCACAGGACGCAAGAGCTTTTCTTCGTTTTCTTCATGCGTCAGATTTGTTTCCCCAGTTCCCAGGCCAGCGTGTGTTTGAACATCAGCCTCGGGTGATCCGATCGAGACACTAAATGCAGGTGAAATGTTGTGATTCAATCACTTTCGGGTCAGTTTGAGTGTTTAAATGTTTCTCTTCTGCTCACCAAGGCTGCATTTATTCGATTACAGTTATTTTGTGAAATATTACAATTCTAAATGGTCAGTTTTCTATGTGAATATAAAGTAAAGTGTAATTTATTCCTGAATTTTCAGCATCATTACTCCTGTTATGTAGTCTTCAGTGTCACATGATCCTTCAGAAATCACTCTAATATGAGGATCAAGACACTTTTATGATTATTATCAATGTTGAAAACGGCTTCATGTCCTTGTGGAAATTGTGATTTTTAAAACAGAAAGTCCAGAAGAACAATATAAATCTCTTGCACTTTTGATCAGATTAAGGAATCTTTGCTGAGTAAAAGATTAAATTAAGTCTTGCTGACCCAAAGTGTTTGAGTGCTAGTGTCAGTCCAAGTCAATCACGAGTGCTGTAAACGTGTGTTCGGATCACCGGAGGAGATGTTAATGAGGTGTAAACAGAGCCTTAAAGACAAAACCAGTGATGAGACCTTTTATTTACATGACAGAACCCCATCTTAAAGGAGTAGTTCACTTTAAAAAAAACTTTTGCTGATAATTTACTCGCCCCCATGTCATCCAAGATGTCCATGTATTTCTTTCTTCAGTGGAAAAGAAATGAAGGTTTTTGATGAAAACATTCCAGGATTTTCTCCATATAATGGACTTCAATGGGAACCAAACGGTTCAAAGTCCAAAAGACAGTTTCTGTGCAAAATGAACGAATCTTTTCCCCGAGTCAACTCGTTCATTTTGTTTGTTGAATGAATCAAATGACTCGAAAAAAGATTTGTTCATTTTGATAAACGAGTTCGAACAGGAGACTCACAGAACAGAGCAAGGCGAGCATTTGAGCTTATAAAACTTAAACTTTGTTATTTATTTATTAAATGAGCGATCGTTAGCGATTAATTCATCATCTGGAATCATTTAAAGCCCTTTGAACAGTTTGCACTGAAACTGTCTTTTGGACCTTGAACCGTTTGGACCCCATTGAAGTCCATTATATGGAGAAAATCCTGGAATGTTTTCATCAAAACCTTCATTTCTTTTCGACTGAAGAAAGAAAGACATGGACATCTTGGATGACATGGGGGCGAGTAAATTATCAGCAAATGTTTTTTTAAAAGTGAACTACTCCTTTAATTGAAAGTAGCTGAGCGATTTAATGGGCTTTTGGGGGGAAAAAGACATGTAAAGCTTTATGTGAAAATTATGCATTGTTAAAAATTTGTGTGTGAGAGATTAGTAACTGTTATGCATAAGAAGTGCAGCGCACTAACAAGCGATTTCTGTTGGTAACCAGATTTTTGTTTTTTTTTAATGACCTAATATTCCCAGTAACTTGTCAGAGCCAGTGGGCAATATATGAGTTGCAAACAGGAAGATTGTGTGTATTGACTTCCTGAAGCCTTGATGTCCATTGTGAATGTGACACACACACACACACACACACACAGTCTCTTTAGTGTCTGATCATTTGACAGAGAGAGGCAGCTAAGAACAGGGCAGACATGCAGCATGTTTAAAACCATTAAAGCCATTGGTGTGGCTCGAGGTCGATGACAATCTTATGCTTTTCATAAGTGATGTGGAAACCCAAAACATGTCGGTTTGAAGCTCATGCACTCCCGGTTCCTGTCCTAGCCAGAGAAATACACTGTCATCTTCATGGAAATTGTTTTTTTTTTTTTTTTTTTAGTTTGCTTTTCTGCTTTTTAAATGTATGTATTGTTAATGTGAAAGCTTATTTCGGCCATTTCAAAAAATAAAATTTTTCTAATTTATATGTGCTTAATTATTCACAGGGAAATTGATTTATCCTCCAAGCCTCTATATGCTTTTTATTGGAAATAAACTGGTTATTTACACTGCAGAGGGGGGACAGAAGCTCATCTGAAGTGTGTGACTGTTAAACCGGTGGCATAAATGCATTTACAACACAATTATAACTGTGTTGTAATTCTATGTGAAGATCACATTTGGAAGCAACGGAAATTAAACTATCTGATTTAATTGATTTGAATAAATGAAAAAGACAACATTTTTTGTGCTTTAATCTATAATAGTTTGTTGTTCCTGTTTGAAACTACAAACTATATGTATGTCGGTCAGTTTGCTTTGGTTTGATTGCAATCCTTGTTAATGGTAACTATAGCCAAAATACTATAGTTTTAGTAAAACTGGAAATTCTGTATAAGCCACTGTCAACCAAAAATTGTGAAATCTGTAAAGGTAATATTTGGACACAATGGACGAATTATTCAAATATTTTTTTTTAAATATTTGTGCATTTATAGTCTGTGGCCCCCTTGGGTTGCTTTGGTTTCATTTGTTTAAGATGATTATTAATGTTTATTAAAGTCATATGTGCAACTAATTTTGACTGAAATTATGAATCTCTTATTCCTCAAAACATTAAATAACACTTTAAAAAAAATCTTTATTGCATAGTAAGTAGACGATAATGTTTTGACAATCATCTAATCAGCAAATGTTAGCAACTAAGCATTAATTTACTCTTATGCACAGCAGATCAACCAAAGGTCATTCTACAGATAAAAACAATATTGATATAAAACAACAACTGCAACCCAAAATTATAACAGGTTCATTTATCTACTGTTACTTGATTTAAAAAGTCTCACGTGTACAAAGGAGGCTCGCGGTGGCGCCCTCTGCTGTCATCGGCACGTGTTCGCACGACTCAGGAGTTAATAAGAGCAAAATCCACTCTGACTGAAGGCCTCATAGAGCAAAGGCCTCGTAGCGCGCGTGATTCGCTACTTTTGTTTTTGCACATTGAATGTTCACAGCTTAATTTAGCCCCCATCACCATGTAATTTATTTGGTATTTTCATTTGAATTCTATGTAGGTACAAAATTACACACAAGTGCAGCTCTTTAGACTAAAGCGAATTTATGCTTTTCTACACCGTGTTGAATCTGCGGAACTGAACTCTGCGCTGGTCTAGCATGCGGGCTACTTCCTTGTTGGTGAGTCGGTGTGAGAGGGCGACAAGAAGTTTCAACCTCGCATAAGTATGTGTGGATTTAGCTGACATTTTTTATGGGATATTTCCCTTCCTAAATCTCTCCAAGCGCACAAAACAACCCGTTTTTAACACATCCCTCGGAGGACACCGCTACCCGAGCCATGGAGGTTGATTTAAAGGCTGTTGTGTGGCTGATTTGCTAAGTTAGCCTAGGCTGCTAACACAATCTTTTCATCACACGCGCGGAACTGGATTATAACTCGAGCCTTTTATTGACATACTCGAGGCATTTCGAGGATTTATCCGATTGTTGTGCATCGGGATGGTTAGATGCGATGGATTCGCTGTGATCTGGATGGGAACGGTCGCTGTGTGAACACATAAATGCTAGCTGTGCTAACTAGCGCTTAAAGTGGGTTTCAAATGTTTTGCTTTGTTTGTACTGAAACACGAGTGGATAAAAGTGGGATATTAAATGCCTAACCCGGAGATCGTTCCCCGCGAGGGCCGAGGGAGAAGCCCGCCGCCACAAAGGACTCAGCGAGAGGCGAGACGGAGCAAGAGCCACCGCGAGAAGCACCGGGAGAAGGGCCGGTCGTCGTCGTCCTCCTCCAGGAGAAAGAAACACAAGCACGCCAGGGAGAAGCAACAGCAGTCGTGGCAGCAGCAAGAGGTGGTTTACGACGGCGATGTGCGGACTTTAGTGGAATACGACGATGTGAGCTCGCAATCCGAGCGTTTCTCCGGGAGCCCGTCGCCCAGAACCGACACACTTTCCGTGGAGCGACTGAGCGAAGCCGAGCTTCAGGACTCAATCTGCGGAGGTGCTTCAACACCGGGGAGGAGAGAGCAGAACTCCTCATCACGGAGGAGAGATGGAACCGGTGCATCGGCGGGGAGAGCCCGGCAGGAGAAGGAGGTGAAGAGGAACCGATCCAACCGGGAGCAAGACGTGAAAAACCACGACAGCAACGGTAGAAAGCCTTCAGCCGCGTCCCAAGTGGATAAAAAGGACTCAAAGCGACATAAAAGCAAGTCCAAATCCGAGAAGGACCCCCCATCTGCGTATAGAGAACCGCCACAAGCTTACCGGGACGAGCGGGAGGAGCTCCGGGCCTACCGGAGGAGCAGTCCGAGCTTCAAAGCAGTGGATAGTCCCTACGGGACCTCTTATTCCTATGGATATCAGTCCCCGAACACAAACTTCCCGTTTATTTCCCGGAGGAGCCCGAGGAGGGTGTCTCCCAGCTCGAACTACTACGGTCGGGAGTCTGAGTTGTACGGTGCCTATAACGTTTCGAAGTCCCCGAGCTCGTACTCGAGTAAGAGGAAGCGCTCGCCGTCCAGCCCGTACTGGCGCCGGTCCCCGAGCTACGGGCCCTACGAGCAGGGCGAGGTCCCCGGGACACGCGCCAGGAGCCCCTACAGGAAGTCCCCGAGCCCCAGCCCGGACGGCAGGTAAGAGAGACACTCACGATTATTTGGGCTTTTTCTACCGTCGTCAAGTACAAATTGTACTCGTGTACGAAGAGAGCGTGATTGTATGTTTTGAGAGGGTTCGTAACTACATGCTGTATAATTGGATATTACTGGGATGAGTGAACTCGCGATGTTCGATTCTTAAACAAGTACGAGTTTGAGTCGGTTCCAGGAGCCCTTATAGTTCAAGTCATCTCGTAAAACGCCACCACAATGTCGTAAATACGAGTGGGAAACTCGGGATGTTCAAATTCTCCTGGGAAGTTCGTATTTACGAAGTGGGAAGTCGATCTGTGTTTGGAGTAACTTATTACAAGTAACTTGAGTTACGTAATCAGATTACTTTTTCTAGTAACTAGTAATGTGTTATTTATTTTTCAAATTTACATAACAATATCGGAGTTATTTTTTTCAAATAAGTAACGCAAGTTACTTTATTTACTCATTTATTGACTGACAGCTCTCTTGTCCCATGTTGAGACAAATCAAAGTACCGAGGTGTGTGTGTGTGTGTGAGCAAGAGAGGACCGGGTTATTGTAGTTCTAGAGTAAATGTAAGCATGTTGATAAATGCATCTGAAAAAAGATTCAAAATTAATAAAATCAGACTTTTGAATCTTGAATCAAAACTCATGAGAGTGTGTCAAAATGAACTGTATAGAAGCTTGTTTCCGCGGCTAAATAAAAAAATAACTGTGACTTTTTATCTCACAATAAAATCGTGAGTTTAATTCAGAACGGTGAGATATAAATTCACAATTGTAAGAAAATGTTGTGGGCTGACATCTTTAGAGTTCAATTTATCTCAGAACTGTGTTTAAAACGCAATTCTGTGAAATTAAGTCTGAATTGCACGATAAAGTCACAATCATATTTTTTATTCTGTAGCAGAAACAAGCCTCCATAAATTCAAATACTTATCTTCTAGGGTGAAAAGTTAGTTACTTTAATTGAACAATACGGGAAAAAATTATACCAACCAAAACATGGAGATACGCTGGTCACTTTACTGAATGAATATATCAAAACCAATAAGAAACCAAAGAATATGTTTCAATAAATAGCCGAGCATTTTATTCAATACACATCTCTTTTTTTTGCCAAGATATGTAAATTAACCGTAGTATTATTGTAAATATACACACGCACACAAAAAGTAATTTACACTATAAATCTGATTTGAAAGTGGGAATTATGTTGCGTTTTTTCAACTGCAAATAAAGAACACTCATTGGGTGTTTGTTTATCCTTTAGGCTATTTATTCAATTTATAAAGATTGTAGTCTGAATAATTAAATATTCTATCGTAAAACTATTGTGTTTTGTACTTGCAGCTTAGCTTGGTTTATTATAAATGTGCATTTCTTTTCTAGGACATCTAGCTAATTCTATTCAAATGAGGGTTGACGAATATGCCATAATTTGTGCCACTAATAAATTCAAATTAAACAAACGCAACCTTCACTGTTTAACATATCTACTATATTTATAATAGTAAGCTAATAAAACTGTAGTGCAACTATTATTCTGGCAGAAACTATCCGGCTCCATTTACATGCAGGAATATATTAACATTTAATGTGATAAAATAATTGCCTGGAACTGTGAGAAGGATATAATTGAGTTTTTAATTGATGCTTTTCTCTGTCTGATACAAATGCAATTTTACAAGGATCTGAAACTAGTTTGATTTGCCTTGTTTTATTAGCAACACTTTATTGAGAGGCCTGAAAACGGTATTACTCTAGTACACAATTCTTTTCAACTTTAATTTTAAATTCACATGTATATATTAATTGAATTTGATATAAGAAGCATCTGAAATGGGACAAGCACAGTTAATATAAGTGTCAGATTGTGCTGTTTCATGTGTGTGTAAGACTATACAAACAGTTCTTTGTTTCACTGTAGTTATTGTTAGCGCATAAGTGAAGACATTTTGGTTTGATTTGTTTGACCTTAAAACAGTCTTCCCGTCCACTGTTGACTTCTACATTCTATCAAGACTGAGTCTTACACACACACACACGTTGGTTGAGCCCAAAAATAAATATTCTTTCAGTAATTACTCTCCCTCATGTTGTTCAACCCTGTAAGACTTTGTTCATCTTCAGAACACAAATTAAGATCTTTTCGATTAAATCTGAGAGCTGTCTCACTCATCCATAGGCTTCTGTAAATAAATAGTCCCAAGTGACTACAGTGGCTCAACCTAAAGGACCGTACACACTAGGGGTGTAACGGTACACAAAAATCACGGTTCGGTACGTACCTCGGTTTTAAAGTCACGGTTCGGTACGTTTTCGATACAGCAAAAAGAAAGAAATGCCTATTTGTTCAAAGAAAAAAACATTTTTAAACAAGTTAGTTTTCCTACAGTAGATCTTGAAACTTTCAGGTTTATAAATGGTGGTCATCTTTGAAGGATGAACAAATAATGTTTTGGTCATCACATTAAAAATAACATTTAAATATATATTTATTTATATAATTTTTGAATTTTGAAGTGCTGGAAAAAGATGTGTGAAGTACTTGATGGCATTTCACCATTCCAGCCAAACTGGTTCCAGTTAGTGTTACTATATTAAATCCATGGTGAATGTTGCTGGTCTGTGGACGTAAAGTATTACTAGTTCAATCCTTGCACAATGTTTCTCCTGGTTTCCACGGCGCTGTTTGATCTAATAGAGATCTACGGTTAATAACGGAGAAATGTGAACGCATCTCACTAGATCTCGCAGCGATGTTATTACCTCAGTGGCGAATTCAAATGTGTTCTTTACCGGATCTCTTAGCGCTGTGTGTTAACAGCGTTGCTTGATGGAGATCGGCTCGCGCTGCACAGATGTTGCTGGTCCGAACTGATAAACGATCCATGAAGTACATAACGAGTAGCGCAGTTTGGTTTCGCTTTCATTATGCTTGCCATTTGATGTTGCGCAACGTTGTGTTGGCCGCTCTAGCACGAATTTTGCCGGCAGGAAAAATGGTCCAAGCAATCGTTCGGTTTGTATGCGTACCGAAACGGTTCAATTTATGTGTTATTTGCCAGCGTTTTTTGTGTTCACACCCAAGCGATTTTCGCTGACGATGAGCCGAGTGAAAATGCAAATTCATTCCCTGACATTAGATGGCGCCCATTTGCTCTGCAATACCACTTCATATCAGTTCTCTTTTATCAAGATTTTTGTAGTCGCTGTCGCATTTGTCATATAGTTCTTTGTTACGACACCAACGAGACCAGCAGCTTCATCTGGCCTCGCATCTTCCTCGTCTTATTTCTTCCCAGCAGTGTAGATGCTACTTGGCGTACATCATCTTCGCCGTTACGTGTGTGTGCTCGCCAAGACCGTTTTGTGTTTGAGCGCCCCCAAGTTGTGTTTTACTGTAACTTCAAAGCAAAAGCACCAATCTCATTGGTCGTCAAACTAAAAAAAAAACGAACCCAAGGCATTTTTTTAAAGTGACACTTTTGCGCGTGGCGTTTTTGTGTCAGTGTGCACACTCACATTGGCGCCCTTTGTTTAGTCACGAGGCGTTAAACGTCAGTGAATATCGCGCACAAAATTCGTCCCGGTGCGAACAGGTTTTTATGTTTAATATCAAGCAACAGGAATACTTTTTGTGCGCAAAACAAAAATAACGACTTTATTCTTTTTTGTGGGCCTCGGGGTGAGCTCATGTAGTGTAACAGCGTAGCGCTACGCCAGAATGCAGGGTCACTATTGGCCAGCATCACGCTCGTGACCAGCGCCAATAGTCAGTCCCTCCAGAAAAACGAAAAACGCGATTATGCGATCGTTGAATTCAATGCAAAATTAGCCAAAGTCCGCATATTTATGCGGGGGCCGCATTTTTTCAAATAAGCCCCACTTTCGCTGCATAAATTGACGATTTCCATGCAAAATATGCGGGGTTTGCATGATTTCATAATCCTCGCATTTTCGTTGCAAAAAAGTCAGATATATCTTAGCAGAAAGTTGAAAAATGTTGTGTTTGCTTCACGCAAGGGCAGCCATTTCCCCCTGTTTCCATGGGAACGTTATGAAGTGACGCAATTACACGACGGTGACGGGATCGCTCACAGCTGAAGTTATTGCAGAGGCCAGACAGACTCACGGAGGCGACTGACATCTCACAAATCGAACTCGTATAACTGTCTGTCACACGTTCTACCGTCACATCGTTACTTAATAAACAACATAAGATAAAAGAAGTAGCATCAAACAGAAATTACCCGCACGCATGGGGTGTTCGAGGCGCACACAATTGAACAGGGAGCGCGCAGCTCTTAAAGGGGCCACACCTTATTTACACTCATTATAGTCTGAAATAAAACAAGCAATTTTTGCAAAGTCCCGCTATTTTTGCAAGTTTCTGCAATTTTTGCAAGTTCCCGCAATTTCATCGCATAAAATTGCATAAATATCCCGCATATTCCATCGCATTTTTAAAGAAAACGGGCCGCGCAATCAAGGATTTTTGCCTGCAACAATCACAAAAAAACTCTGCGTTTTTCTGGAAGGACTGAATAGTGAGCCTTCGTTCTGGCGTAGCGCTGCGCTGTAACACTATGTGAACTCACTGAGGCCCGCACAGAAGAATAAAGTCATTATTTTAGTTTTTTGTTTTATCAAAAATATCTTAATTTGTGTTCCGAAGATGAACGAAAGTCTTGAGGGGTTGGAACAACATGAGGGTGAGTAATTAATTACTGATAGGATTTTAATTTTTGGGTGCTAGGGATATAAATAATCCCTTTAAGCAACACACTGAAGGTTGAAGCCTCAGACTTTGCAATGTATGGCTTCTGCTTTCTTCCCAATGTGTGTTTAATAACACTAACCCCGCTTTCACTGACTAGTCTTCAGATGCAAAATACATGTTCGAGCTGTTTTAACTGAAAGCAACTTGCAGAGAAAAATGTCTAACGATGTATCTGAAGATGCACATCAGTAATGTTTGTTTCTAAGGCATGTTTTTAAAAGATACTTATGTTCTGATTGATCTAAAATTTAGGCCTGGTTTCACAGACAGGGCTTAGATAAAGGACTTATTAAGGGTTATTTTAGGCATAATGCTGGTTGTAATATAAACCAGATAGCCTAACTAACTATAATCTCATTTTAAGATGCAAATTGAGTGCCATGACTGCGTTTTTATTGGCTGATTCAGTCATCACGTGTCTGGTGATTAGACGACCAAACGGGAGAGACGGTGTTTTAAACTCAAGGCTCAGTCTAACAGCCGTGCGTGTGGATCATCTCCTATTTGCTGCTTTTGTTAATGTTAAATTGTTTAAGCATGAAGCTGTTTTTTTTTTTTTTAAATAAAGGCTACAGGACGTTTGTTGTTCCTTTGGTGATTAAAAATGTCTAAGTTTTATATTTTGTTATTTAGTTTTTGCATTCAGTTCCATGTTTCCTTAAAGCAATTAGAGTCTCTTAGAATGCTAAAATGCCATTTGCATTGTGAAAAAAGTTAAAAGCATTAAGTGGTTTCACAACAAGTAGGCCTAGGCTACAGGAAACCAAAGTTTATCTGATCTGTGTATTAAAATATTGCTTTGATCTAGAGAGAACATCAGATCAATGCTAATGTTTTCCATGTTGAGCGATGCTGGGGTGGATTTCAGCAATGCACATGTATTTGTTACTTGTTTTTTATTATTCGCTCTTCAGATCGATTGAATAGCTAACCCAAAAATGGTAGTTCTGTATTGAAGTTTACTCGCCCTCATGCTGATCAGAACACGTGTGCTAGTGTTCATAAGTTTGGGCTCTGTCATCATAGTCGTGATGTTGAATAGTGATCCATCGCTTAATCGCTGTGAACGAGGCTTACATCATCATTGTAGAAACTTTGTGCGTCTCTTCAATGGTTAAGTCCCACATGAACCAATGATGTCTACCCAGAATTGGAAAGATAGAAAAATATCATAGGCATTAGAGCCCGACCGATAAAGGATTTTGAAGGCTGATACCGATACAAATATTTTTGGGTTTTAAAATCCGATATTCCGATATATCGGCCGATATTTTTTTTTTTTTATTAAATATTGTTGGATTTCACACACGTGTGAAAGAAAAGCTAACTTTTCTGCACAAGATACGTTTGATACTTTTTCTCTCTGTCTAAATGTTCACTCCTCGCAAGTATAACTTACATTTTACAATGCAGGGACTGTAACTAGAGATGCTAGTTATGAATACAGTAATCATTACTTTATTTAGGCAGAAAAAGTTCATTGTGGTTTCCAAGCTCATTAATGTTAACGTTAGCGGTCTTCCACTGATGATAGTGGCATTAGCTAGCTTTGTGGTTAGCTAGTCTATGATAAACTATAATTTAGCAATAGATAACATCATACTGCAAATTGTAAAACATACATTTTCAATATAACAGGCCAAGGAGAGATGATTGAAGCGTGTTTTGTCTGTTTTTATTTTATTTTTTAAATATTAATTTATCGGCCATTATAACTACCGATATTATGGAAAATGCCTAATATCGGCCGGCCGATATATCGGTCTGGCTCTAATAGGCATCATAACATTTATCCTTATTATGAATTAATCAATGTTATGTCCTGGCTCTTCCAAGCTTTATAATGAGAGTGAATGATACCTGAGATTTTGAAGCCCAAAAAAGTGCGTCCATCCATAAGAGTAATCCATATACGACTCCATGGGGTTAATAAAGGCCTTCAGATCCATATTTATAACTTTACGGCAGTCGGAGGAGTAGTCGTCTGCCGGAAGCTAGTTATTTTAGTCGATATTGTTAAATATGGATATTTTTTTTTTCACGAACGCATCACTTCACTTCAGAAGGCTTTTATTAACCCCTGCAGAGCCATGAGGAGCACTTTAATCATGGATGGATGCACTTTGATGGATACCCATTCACTCCCATTATAAAGCTTGGAAGAGCCTGGATATTTTTTTATATAATTCTGATTGTATTCGTCTGAAAGAAGAGTGTCATATACACCTCGGATGGCTGCAGGGTGAGTAAATCACGTGCTAAACTCACTCCGCTGTTGCTCTCTCTCAGGCGTCCGGCAAAGTCCCGCAGCAGAAGCCCGTACACGTCGACCCGCCACTCGCGGTCCCGTAGTCGTCATCGCCACTCACGGTCCCGAAGCCGGCCCTCGAGTCTCTCTCCCAGCACACTGACCCTGAAGAGCAGCCTGGCCGCCGAGCTCAGCAAGCAGAAGAAGGTGAAAGGTAAGAGACAAACAAAAAATACTTCATTGGGGAAATTGAGAGACGAAACCATGCTGATGACCTGCGTCTGTGGTGGAGGAGTGAGTTTGACGTAGTGTTGTCAAAAGTACCAAATTCGGTACCAAGTCAATTCTGAAATTTTCCTTTTTTATAACTGTACCATTCAGGTAAAACTGAAAAATAGAATATCGTGGAAAAGTAATGCATTAATTCAATTAAACTAATATATTAAATTGACTCATTACATGCAAGCTGAGATATTTCAAGCATTTATTTGTTATAATTGTGATGATTATGGCTTACAGATATGAAAACATTTACACAATATTCTAATTTTGAATTTGAAGTCATAATCATCAAAATTATAACAAATACAGCCTTGAAATATCTCCCATTGCATGTAATGAGACTATATAATATATTAGTTTCACCTTTTAGGTTGAATTACTGAAATAAATTATTCAATAGTTTCACTTGTATCTCTTTTAATTCCTTTTATAACAGTTTTTTTTTTTAACTTTTTTAATTACTTTTTGCTTAAAACACTTTGAATTACCATAGTGTGTGAAATGTGCTGTATAAATAAACTTGCCTGAACTTTCCCGAAAGCCGCCGAAGCCGCTCGCGTCAAAACCTCCAGCAACGCCTCGACCCCGACCAAAGGCTCGTCGTCCTCCAGCGCTCCTCAGCCCAACCCGGGGTCCAACCACACTCTCAAGAAGACCCGCCCACCCTCACCTCCACCTGTGTGTGAGAAAGGCCCCAGAACGCCCGTGTCTAGCCAGCCTCAGTCTCCTGTGGACCGACCCAAGAGGAGCGCAGACGCCTCGCTGCCCGCCAGGGACGCCAAAGGGAAGGAAGACAAGAAGAAAGCAGGAGCGGTCATGCAGGTGAAGGAGAAGGAGCGAGAGAAAGCGGCTGTCGCCTCTCTTCCACCGGCTCCCAACAACCTGGATCACGTGGACGGAAGCGACAGGTTAGTTTTCAAAATCCATCTGTGAGCGAAATATTCAGACGTACTCTTTACAGCTCTGTGAAAAACATCAGAAATCGATAAAGAGTACCGGAAAACAATACTTGAGTAAAATGCCACCGATTCCAAAACGACTCAAGTAAATTGGACGGGATGAGTTTGACATGGAGAGATCGGGTAAAGTAATTATTACCGTGATTTAAAGGATTAGTTCACTTTAAAAAAAAAAAAAACTTTTGCTGATAATTTACTCGACCCTATGTCATCCAAGATGTCCATGTCTTTCTTTCTTCAGTCGAAAAGAAATTAAGGTTTTTGATGAAAACATTCCAGGATTTTTCTCCATATAATTGACTTCAATGGGGTCCAAACAGTATAAGGTCCAAAAGACAGTTTCAGTGCAAACTGTTCAAAGGGCTTTAAACGACACCAGACGATGAATAAGGGTCTTATCAAGCGAAACGAGACTCTTGTTCGAACTCGATCATCAAAGTGAACGAATCTTTTTCAGAGTCATTTGGTTCATTCAACGAACGAAACGAACGAATTTACTCGGAAAAAGATTCGTTCATTTTGATGATCGAGTTCGCACAGGAAAGTCACGAACGTGCATCACAGAACAGAGCAAGGCGAGCATTTGAGCTTATAAAACTTAAACTTTGTTATTTTTTTATTAAGTGAGCGATCGTTTCGCTTGATAAGACCCTTATTCATCATCTGGAATCGTTTTAAGCCCTTTTCGACCGATGAAAGAAAGACGTGGATATCTTGGATGACATGGGGTGAGTAAATTATCAGCAAAAGTTTGTCAGTAAAGATTGCGGCGACTTTTTGATTATTAAAAAATGCAGAAACGAAATTTTAAAAGCAATTAATTTTTTGATTTAGATTTATTTTGTTGAAAAAAATGACTGGAAAAGTGTTAAGAATTCAAAAACGAAGTGTTTGTTTTTGTTCTGACAATAAAGAGCAGCTTAAAACCACAATTAATGGTCTGGTTTCTGGCAAAAAATCTGCCTTTAAACTCTGATTTGATATTTATCGCATATAATTATTGATGTCGACTGATATAAACATTTAATTGTGATTTTTTTTTTTTTTTTTTTTTTTTTTTTTTTTTTTGGCCATATCGCCCATACCTAGTGTTTTTGATAGTTTCACTGATGGCTTCCTTTCCTTTAATGTCTGTAGCTTGAAAGACTCTTCAGGAACCACAGGGAAAAAAAACTACAAACCAGAAAGGAAAGCGCGTGCGCTCCTCTCGGACCTGCCTCTTCCTCCAGAGCTCCCGGGCGTCACCCCCGGGTCCCCACACAGCCCGCCGGATGAGAAGAAGATGCCCGTCCCACGCAAGAGACCAAAGTATGTTGCCAAAACATCTCTTCTCACATTCTCTCTCTAGCAAATGCAAAAACTCCTTCTCTGGTTGCATCGCAGAATTTGTGGCCCGCGCTTTGGAGAGATCAAGGAAACCGAGATCGACTGGGGGAAGCGGTGTGTGGACAAGTTTCGAAATCATTGGGATCACTGGAGAGGGTACTTATGGGCAGGTGTACAAAGCCAAGGACAAGGACACTGGTAAGGATGTTCTCGAACGTCTGCATGATGCATCAGAATAAAT